AAGCGATGCCTGTGTCACTCGCCTCTGGTTGGCTGGTAAGCGGATGGCAAGTGGCAAATCGGCCGACACTTGACTGCCGGACCCGGACCTGTGAAGATCGCCCTCTCTCTGCTGCTATTGTTGGCCAACTTTCCTGACCGGACCATCCGCCACTGACATCATCGACAACATCTCACGAGCGTTTTCGGTTTTTCGAGCATTAGTTTGCCCTCCCCACTGGTGGTGTGAGTGACCCACACTCCAGCTGGAGAGCAGCTATAGCGTGATATTCCCAACGTGGTTTGAGCTCTTTTCCTTCTACTATTTTTCCTTTTTTTCGCTCTGGCCTAGGGACCTGCACCCTCAAAAGTGTATTCGTCCTGCGGTCCCCTCTGTAACTGTTCACCTCCCTCCCAGGAGATTGTGAACATGAAAGGGGGTTGGAGCAAGAACCCACCCCTCTGCCGAGTCTTTCACCAGGAAAGCCGTGATCGTGTGGGCCCACCTGGAAAGAGGGTAGCAATCCTCATTCTTACCCAATAGGCACACTTAGCTCACGTCTATAAGTGAGCAGTCACATACACTATGAAGAAGGTTTCCCCAAACGGGGCTCCGGGAGAGAAGCTCAGGAACCACTCGACAGTACGACCACCTGGCCATCAAGTGCCTGTGGGGAGTGTTGAAATTCCTCTGCTACCTACTCAACCGGAATATGTAGGGTCTGAACAACAGAAAAACCTCCAAAGAAGAAGAAAACACCACTTAACCACCGGTTATGGAGTGAGTACGCCTTCCTAACCGCGACCCCCGCCTGAACCGCCAACCCGACGACCTGAACCACGACAGGCTCCACATAGAGAAAGCGGACCAGCTGCAGGCCTTCCACGAAGCCCTGAAAACCAAGAACAACGTCATCCACACCATTGCCACCGCCCCCAACAACTCCACCACCACTGAGGACGACAACTGGACGAAGGTTGAAAACCAAAAACGAACGACGTGCTTTTTCGGGAAACGAAATCCGTCAAGCAGCCCAAAAGGCACCCATCACCACCACCAGCTCGCCCCCAACGACACTGCCATAATTCCGGATCTCGAAAACTGACACGAAAACGACATATGCCGCCAACACTGAGATGGAGAAACAAAATCCACTGGCCAAGTTCTCAGTGTGGCCCAACCTAAAGGGGGAGATGATTATTCACCCCAAAGACAAGGACTCCGCCACCACCCTCGACACTTACCTGAAAAACACCACCACCGTTGCATCAACCAAGCTGAATCCCGCCCAGAAACTGATGAAGTCGGTAGTCCTTTGATACCCAAAGGAGCTACCCCTCAAACCCCTGGAGAACCATCCGAAGATCCTAAAAGACGAGAGATGCTCTCCCCCGACCGACAAGACGGCCACCACAAAACAAGTGCTCATAATGCACTACAGTCCACTCCCCAGCACCATAGACCTCCAAACCTGGGGGATCTACGAAGTGAGGCCCTTCGTTCCGGAGCCCCTGCGGTGCTTCAGATGCCAGAAATACGGGCACCATCAGGCGAGGTGCACGTACAAGGAAATCTGCGCCGCAGAAGCACGGCACACACTCCTGCCTCACCAAGTTGAAGAATGGGGAAAAATTTGCCCCCAAGTGTGCCAACTGCAGGGGCAAACACCACGCCTGGAACCCTGGATGCTCCGAGAGGACAAAGAGGGTCCAGGCAAACCGACCAGCAGCAAGACCGACCCCCATCGCTTGCACACCAGCCCCTCCAAGTACCTTCGTGTGGGGAACCCAAAGGCAAAAACAACAAAGCCAACCCCCTCAATCGGTCAACACCCAAAGTGCAGCCCAGTTTCCTGGCCTCCCTACGGCCACACCTCAGCCCTCCAAGCAGCAGACAACTACGGAAAAGACAAAAAATCACACACCAAGGCACCAGAAGGAATGATACACGTATTAGACCTAGCCAAGGTATTGACAACCTTCGCTGAGTTACTGGGCCACAAGACCCAGCTCACACAGCTCCAAATACTCATGGGGAGCGTCCTCGGGCAAGTCGCCACAGCTCCAGCCACCTCAGAGGAGGACACCATGCCGGCCTCCACACGAGTGACAGCCGAGGTGTGTATGCTGTGTGTGGGAAGGATGCTGTGTTATACTGCCCGCCTGGGATCACTAATTCTAAGGGGAATAACTTAACTCTATTCTTAATTTCTAAGGGTCGCTGCCACCAGACCCCCTCTGGGCAGTATGTAGCTCGTTAGGTAGCGTGCAGAGTAGTGGACTATGCATCGGGTTAGGTTTTTCATTGACCAGATCGATAAGGGGAAAGAAGGGCGAAACCATAACTTGTCTTAGTTCTTTCAATTGTTCTTTCTACTTACTTCAGTTCATTTTTGGTACTACCTAACCTCAGTTCTTTTTGGTAGCATGTCGAGGGGTCTAGGCACATGGGTATTTAAAATGGACTCAAGGTGGGGAAAAATATATCATTAACATATAACGCCAAGGCAACTCCAAGGGTGTACTCAACTGCAAATTACATTTCATTACATACATTACAACTTCCATATGACACTTCACTAACTGCTGGGAGTGCATATGAGATGCACTCACAACACACTACATGTTATTACTGAAACCAACTCATGCATGGGTCCACTACCCAAAATGGGATACTTATTCCAGAATTATCCCAAACACATACAACAACACTGTGGACATTACTCCAAGGCATGTCCCAGGGTATCACACTGGCGCCTGTAACACTGACGATCTCTGTGATGGTCGGTAAAGTCACTACAGACCAGTTCAAGTTTAGAAGCTCCAAAAGTTGTTGGTAGCGAAAGGCAGAGCTGGGAAGATGACAGAGGAAGGAGCAGGAGGTTAGGAAGGGAATTGTAGTGGGAGAGATAGTGCCGTGGCTTTACACGACTGCGTTTATTTGGTTAGCACATAGCGCACGTATTTGGTTTTTTGTCTGTGTTGGGTGTGTGATTCTCGGGTCACCACTCCTCCGGATTGTGTCAGTTCAAGTTTAGAAGCTCCAACAACTTTCCCTGAATACGAATTCGCAACCTTTCGATTTACAACAGGTACCTACTTTACTGCTAGTTGAACAGGGACCAAGGGGGCTAGTAAGAGTGTCCAAACAACTTCTGCTTGCCCGGGAATCGAACCCGTGACATCTTGCTTGCGAGGCAAGAGCGGTACCGCTTCTACCACAAGCACCCCACCTTCCGTCTCTCACTGGTTTATACACCTCTGAGTTGCCAGCGATCGCTACTCACGCAATGACAGAAATTACACACAAACCAACTGTTACTCATTCAAGGATGACCCTCAGTTGACAAAGGCTTGCGAATTACTAAAGTTGATTTACATAACTAATTCAAGATTGAGTTTGCTAGGAGGAAGTGGAATAAACGCATATTGACAACTGTGTTCGAAGGCGGGACTTACTGGGAGGGATCCGGAGTGTAAAACGAATGGGAAAAACACTTCTCTCCTTAATGCTATGAATAAATACAATTAATATTATATAACCGTACCTGGGTACAATACAACACATGATTCAGTAACATTCATTAGGTGAGTCAGTCTTTATCAATGACCCCCGTTCTCTGAGATTCTACAAGGGCGGTGGATTTGAATGTTATGTAGCATAATAAGAATTAAAAGGGGGTTTTTTAGGAATGACAATGATGTGCGCAGTACAGTGTGAAGGAAACATGCTGTGTGAAGGAAGTATGTTGTTTGTATGTTGTGTGTGGCTGGATGCTGTATGAAGGAAGTATGCTGTGTGAAGGAAATGTGCTGTGTGTGGGAGGGATGCTGTGTGGAGGAAGTATGATGTGTCACTGATCAATGTACAGAATGATGTAAAAAGTAATTATTTGAATAACAATTAATAATGTTGTGGGGTTCAAGTTGTTTGGTTCACACTCAGGATGGGATGGAGAAAGGAAACTCACAATGTGCTCTCTATATACATGTTGTATTGGATGTACAATGCAGCTTGGTGCTGGGAAGGCAGCATGGTTACAAGCGTGATGTAAAGAGAGCTGGTTGGTGAGGGTGCTCAGAGGAGGACCAGCTTGTGGGTCGCCATGCTAGCCGGCGGGAGCGAGGACCACCAGTCAGGCGGAGCAGGAGGAGGTGTTGCTGACTGGTTGGTGTGGGTAGAAAGAGACAGGTCACCACGAGGTCAGGTCTTAAATAGCGGGGGTAGGCGTGGCTTAGTAGTTGACCCCCGCTCCGTGATGTATGGCGGCCTGGTTGACCTAGACCACGAAGCATAACACTGGGGAATTGGTGGGGTCGACTGCTCAGCGACAAACAGCGTTTGTAGGGGAGAAATCCACTACAATGTAATTACTGAAATAATAATACTCCTAAGCGTTATTTGATTTTTTTTAAACACCGCAAAATATTTTCAGTTTTGGTCATTCCTGACAACCAATCCCAGGTGAAATCTAGCATATAAACAACTGCATTAGTCAATCACAATTAAAGAAATCTCTTCACCCACCTCCCCCACTGCGGTCCGACTAATTACCCAAATGTAGCCGCAATGAAGTCAAATGATGGTCCTACAAGCGTAAATCGGGCTGTGAATCACTTCTCGATTATTATTTGGTGTCACGAAATCACAAAAAGTGGTAAACTTAATTTAATCCGAGTTGTGTTGTGTTAGGTTAGGTTAGGTACAATTTTTTGTGACTTCGTGACACCAAATACTAGTCGAGAAGTGATTCACAGCCCGATTTACGCTTGTAGGACCATCATTTGACTTCATTGCGGCTACATTTGGGTAATTAGTCGGACCGCTCCCACTGGCGTCATAGCTGGACGCAGGGTATAATTTATTTCTCAAGATGGAAGTAATACATACAAAAAATCTTTATTTACCCAATATAACGTCAATATAAATCTAAAACCAGAATAACATATTAAATTATATTGATATAGTTAGGGTTTGTTTGGTCACATATTTGGAATTAATTATGCTATATTTAGTGAAGTTTAGTCTTATTTTTTTCTGTTCATCATGGGATAAAACATGACCTTGGAGCACCATTCTACAGTAGACAAAAACTACTGTATAATAAGTAGTGGTGGCTGCCTCGACTTGGGAAATTTACCCTCGTAGACCCTGGCAACACTTGATACACCCAGTGACCCATAACAAACAAATTTAACATAACATTGGTGAACTCCCGAGAACAGGACCCATTTTTTGGGGGGGAAATCTGATAACCTGCAGTAATCAGAAATAGATGTCCACTCTTAAACTGTACAAATAAGTAGGAAAAGAAAGTGCAACAAGTCCAGAGATAATCATGAGTACCGTGGATCTCCCTCTGACAGAGCTTTGTGTATCTTATGAGTCCCAGGGCCAGGTGAGTATTATATTTGCTAATTTTAAGGTTTGCTATTGCGCCTTTAATTATGGTTTGTTGGAAATGGTATATGAAAGGGTTGTACCTAGATTATCCTTTGTGTTCTGTAAAAAAATAATGCCGTAGAATAATAAGAAATTGTATTTTTTTTTTACAAGTAGACAACCAACTAATCTAACACAATAGGTTAGGTTAGATTTGTGGTAAAGGTGTAGAAGAGGATGACCACCAGAAAGAATTTGTTGAAAATTTTTGTCGACACTAATATGATGATAAACTCAAAAATGGAAACGACAATGAATAGAACCTAATAGAACCTGACCTAACATACCCATAGGTTGGGTATGTTAAGTCTGGTTATTAGGTTCTATGCATTAATTTGTATTTATTTTTTTACATAATGCTAATAACATTATATTAAGCACAGAAATGGAAATGACAATGCATAGAATCTAATAGAACCTGACAATTTATTTATTTATTCTATCCCGCTTCACAATTCTCCTAGCACCATTTTTGTTTACCTCGCTGAAACCCTTTTCAAGAGACGTTTATTAAATGATGGTGAACGCTTCCACGAATTCCTGCTCGCCATTGCTGATGAACCCCAATATTAAGGTAAGTTGTTTAACACATAAATTAACACAATAATGCATAGAACCTGACCTAACAAACCCATAGGTTGGGTATGTTAGGTCAGGTGCTATTAGGTTCTTTGCATTGTCATTTCCATTTTTGTGTTTAATATCATGATAGTGTGTAGAAAAGATTTCAACCAATTTGGACAATTCCTTCTGGTGGTCACCCTCTTCTACACCTATACCAGAGTTGTTAGGTTAGGTTTGTTAGGTTAAGTTAGTTTTGGTGATTTTTGTGGTAAATTTGTATTAGTGCACACAACTCTGTTAGAAAATCAAAATTATGTTTTTTTAGTGTATTTTTGTGTGTTTTGATTGGTTCTGACCTTGATTTTCGTCGGTAATTGCCTGTTTTTTAGTTATCGGGTGTTTTGGGTGGGACGTTTTCCGACAAAAATCATGGCCAAGTGAATACAAAATACACCCCTAAAAACGGTAAGTTTTTACTTTAGGGCATGAGTCCCTAGGGGTTGACCAATATGTTTTTCCAGTGTATTTTGGTGTGTTTTAAATGAATCTGACCTTCATTTATTTTAGAAATTCCTAGTTTTGCCCCAAGCCCCCCCCCCCCTTTCCACCAAACAATAATGGGGGAGAGCCTGGGAAGTTGGATTTTTGGGTGGGGGAGAAAACGAAAATGAGTCATCTGACCTAACAAAGCCTAACCTAACTCCTAGCAGGGGGCTCTGCTCCCGGATCCCCGGTAGGCTTAGCTTAAACTAACCTAAATGTTTCAGTAGTTAAAAACTTTGGATCGTGCTATGTCCGAATGTACAGTACCTTAGTTAGAAGTGGAAGGACCAGGGATACGTAAGAATTGGATAGAATGATTGTCTTTCTCGTAAAACTCTGCAATAAACTTAAAATAATCGTAGGAGCACAAATGACAACCAACCTCCAGCATGGCCATTGTAAAATTGGTCAATGAAATTAAAATGGTACCCAGGCTGCTTCCTTTGAAAAAATCAAATGTGATTGGTCGAAAAAAATTCACGTGATGCTATCGTATAATTTTTAATAAAATTTTATGGGTTACCTGATGATTAACCATCCTAAAGCCAACCGAATCAAGCCTAACCTAATCATCATAACTGAACTGTTGTTGTTTAAGATGAAATGCAGGTGATCACCATCTTCCTTCATCATTATCATCATCATCATTGTCTTACACGTCATCCTCAGCTCCCATGGAGTGAAGACGTATACTTGGCGCCTCCAGGCTGCCAGGGCCAAACTGTTGGCCCCTTCCCCTATCTCCTCGTCCCCAGCAGGATTTATTAATATCCTCCCACCAATAATGCAGTGCAAAGATTGATGAACAACCCACAACCGATATATAAAAGTGACAATATTAACCTTAAAGAAAGAAACAGTTGTTAGAGAGACAATCGGTGCTCCACTCCGCAGTCAATGATCACCTGATATGGACCTCACATGCCCAGGGCCCTCTGTACACTCACCACCAACACTGAATGAGAAGCCATGAAAGACTCCAAGCTAAATCTTGAGAGAAATGAGGACTCCCTACTCCACCCAGGTGAGAAATTATGGATTCCTAACCACATCACATGAGCAAAAACCATCTCCAACACCCTGTGTGAGCTGAAGGACCTACCAGGACCATGTGGTGGACATGAACAGTTGCAGGGAGGGAGCTGTCCTGAGCACCTAGGTACGAAGGCCATCCGAACCGTGGGAACAATTTTGTTGGCGTCAATATCAAGTCATAAGACTGTTTACAAGACCAGCTCCCTCAGAAATAAATATGTAATTAATCTATACAGTACATGTTCATTTTATGTTATCTTTTAGTACTGAAAGCTTTTGTCAATCAAGTAACCCACTCCCCAATTTCACCATATGTAACTATTGTCATCGCTGTTTGTTGTATATTTTCATCCTTTTGGGTGCCATGTTAACTCAATAAACCATTAATTATTATTTATTATTATTATTATTATTATTATTGTTATTATTATTATTATTACTATTATTATTATTATTATTATTGTTATTGTTGTTATTATTATTATTATTATTATTATTATTATTATTATTATTATTATTATTATTATTATTATTATTATTTACTTTGCTTTCATGGGTTAGTAGTGATTACCAGATTGCATGGTATCCCACTTGCTACCAGGCAGATTTGAAGCAAGTTCTTTAGGAATGGATGCCTTTTGTATATCCAACTTACTTTTACAGAGTGGGAATTGGACATTATACGTAGGACTTACAGGCACTCACTTAGCTGGCAAAGCAAGGTCGCAAGTATTTACATTTGTAGCCATTGTCAATTTTAATAACTTTCATTCTATCAATGTCTGGCATAGTTTTATATAACTTTTCTAATACAGTATAGTTTCCAATTGTGCAATACAAATTAAAAATAATATTAATAATTTATTAAAGATGACTTGAGCCATTCAAACCAAACCCAACTTACCACACCTAGTCTAATAGTCTCAGAATTTTTTTTAGCGAAGGTAGATAAGGTTAGGTTGAATAAGTTTTGCCAGTTTTGAAAGATGTACAGTAGACCTCTATTTTAATACTTTCTGGTGGACTAGAAGAGGAAAGTAATGTTTTCTATGGTGTCTGTGATGGGGCTATACAGTACTGTACAACAAACATCTTGCCACTGTACTGACATACTGGTGCACAGAATTTCCTGGGAAGAAAATCATGGAAAAGCCAGAATACTTGTTCAGTAAGTATGTCTAACACCTCTTTGGTTACAGGGTTAAGAAAATATGTACAGGGTATAGTACAGTATTGTAGTGTTAGGATGGCCTGGAGCCTCTTCTGTTGCAGCCATCCCTACAGAGGGGATGACCATAATAGAAGAGTCTATCTAGGGGACTGAGGCTTTGTAGATTGGATGATTAGGAAATAACATGGATTATTTTTTTCTTATTCTTAGGCTGTGAATTTTACACAGAAAGATCCGTCCCAAGCTGAAGAGGGTAAATGCCAAAATTCGAAGATGCCTCGGAAAATTCTTCACTTTTCTGATGGAGTTCTGGCGGAAGACAGCACAGATGATGAGAATGAGAAAGATGAACCATCAGAAAATAATGCACTTCTGGATCCTGTAAGTTAACGTTTTCTTGTTATCTAAGGTAGTGGTTACAGCTCTCCGTGGAGCCCTGTACAGTACTGTACTTGTCCATTGACAGGCAAGTCACTTGGCTATCTATGGGTTTATTTCTCCTTCATTGCTTTGCCTGACATTCTGATATTTCACCTAACACCCCAGTTTCATCACTTATAACTAATCTTATTGATTTTCAGGCTCATTACCAAAACAAAATTTAAACTACAGTACAGTACATTGAAAATATGCAGTGCACTAAAGAAGTCTGAGACCAGATGCTTATGCCAAGATGGCATAGTGCCAGAGCTCTGTTAGTGGAACTATGGATCCTTCCTTCATATACTTTAATGGTTAAAAATCTTATTTCAGTGTACAGGAAAGCCTCTGATAATAACGGTTCTTCTAACAACAATTCATATTTAAGACATTGGTTAATTCAAGACCCAATTGAGTTTACACCATTATTTTATTTGTATTTATGGCAAAAATAGAATAAAAAATAAAATTAAATTAAATTTTCATATACAGTAAATAATAAGTAAATCTTGATACAGTGGGGTATGCTATAACGAATGGATCCTACTACGAATATTCCTATAACGAACGGTTTTACCTATAAAATTGAGAATGCTATAACGAACGAAACTCCTACAACGAACATTATTAAAAAATTTTTTTTTTCTTTTTTACTAATTTATTGTTTCTGTACTACAAGTATTAACGATATTCTTTATTTCAGGGGTTTAGATGCATATTTATGCACTTTTTTACAATTTTTACAATTTTATATTATATTTTTCAGTGTTAAGTGGTTGTATTTGGGGGTCTGGAAAGGATTAATCCTATAACGAACGAATGCTATAACAAACAAGGTTCTAGAACCAATTAGATTCGTTATAGCATACCCCACTGTATGCATTATACGAATAAAAAAAACACGTCTTGCGCACAGAGGCTGCCAGGCTTGTGAGTGGTGATGCTACCATCACTCTTTTTTTAAACAGCTGCAACTTGGAGGGCCTTTTGTTTTTTTTTCACATCTGAACAAGAAAAGGAAAAAACTTTCTCAGATTTCTTACGGCATTTTTGCGCCCCTATTCAACTATTCAATATGAGCAAGAGAGCAAGTGATGGTAGTGCTGGTTCAAAGCTAAAAGAAAGTGTACAGTATAAGCTTAGCCGAAAAACTAGATGTGTTAAAACAATATGAAAAGAGTGAGAGGTCTGTGGATATTATATGGAGCAAGCAATGAACATATTTTCTGAAGTGGATCCATTAGCAGAACAAAGCTTTAAAATTAACAGGGATGTGAAAAATGCATATGACCTCTACTTAAAGATGTATAATGAGAAAAGAAAGCAGCTGTGCAAGGTTCTTTCAATAGCTTTATTATTCAAAGGCCTAAACCATCAACTTCTGCTACACCAAATTCAGCATCATAAGCAGCTTCAGCAACAACTACAGGTTCAGTAACAGTTTCAGCAATAGCTATGACATCTTTATGAAAAGCTACAGCTTCAGCCAGAGTTGAGTTCAACCTGATGACTTCGTCCTCTAAGTAAAAACTCACACAACATTCATTGGGGGTCCTTATGTTTTAGACTTTACCACCATTAGTGAGTAGAATTTTAGTTTTACATTCATAATTATTATTTAAAACATACTTGAACAGTAATAAGTGTTGTTTTTATATTCTTATGTAGAGAAATGATGATATGTTTTCATATTTACGCACTTACAAACGTTGGCGTTCCCAATCCGTCTCTCTTTTTTCTTTACTATTAGTGGTTAGCTACTTGTATTGTTCCATTTATTAACATTAAATAACATTACTTAAAACATACATACAGTATTCATTTTTTTTACATTAATTTTACGACAGCTACAACCAGGGTCTTATTTTCTTCAGTTTCAGATGGATAACTGATATTATGGGTATAAACACTGACAACAACAATGCCGTCTCATCTCCTCTTGTGTGTTTTAATATTTGTGATAGCTGTTTTGGTATCACATTAATTGTTTTAATAAGTTCTGGAACTCTTCAAGTGGCAGGGCTTGATGTAAACACTTCTTGCTGTTTGCACTTTTATTGTCAAAGCAGCTATATACACAGTAATAGTCTGAGAGAATAGATTATGAATTCTCTCCAGGGAATTGTTTTGAATACACTTTGAGAGAACACTTGAGTGATGTGTTCGTCCCTGATCAAGTGAAGTTCTGCTCCCCCCTCTAGGTGTGAGAAAGGCGTCAGAGTCTCAGTCGGTTGTTTGATTAATCAGCTGACCTGCGCTCGACCTCTGAGATAGTTACAAGCTCAGCCGTCTGTATATCATCAACAGGTTGAGTCACTGTTGAATAACTTGGTGAATAAGTTGGTGTTATTCATTTGGGTGAATATTTATATAAATCAAAGGTGCTGTTACATATTCTATGTACTGTATTATTAATGAATTGTATTGTTTATTTTGCACATATAAACATTAATTCAATCAAATACATATTCAGTAATAAACAATAATGAATCTTTTGTACATATTTTTAATAAGATAAATGACGCTATCTTTCCTTGAGTGCGCACGTATACATTGGCATCCCAATCCGTCGCGCTTTTTTCTTTACCATTAGTGGTTAGCTACTTCTATTGTTCATTTATTAACATTAAATAACACCACTTAAAAATACATATTCATTTTTTTACATTAATTTTACTACAGCTACAACCAGGGTCTTATTTTCTTCAGATTCTTATGTAGAACCATCGTCACGGGTGTAAACATTAACGAAAACAATGCCGTCTCGTTTCCTCATGTGTGTTTTAATATTCTACGTATTATTAATGAGTTGTATTGTTCATTTTGCATATACCCCTACAAACATTAATTCAATCAAATACATAATCAGAAATAAACAATAATGAATCTTTTGTACATATTCTTAATGAGATAAATGACGCAGTTTCCTTGAGTGTGCATGTATACGTTGGAGTTCCACTACCAGTCTCTCACTTTTTTCTTTAACATCAGTGGTTACTTCTACTGTACGTTAAATAACATTAATTAAAACATGCATTTTTTTTTTAAATTTTACTACAGGAACAACCAGGGTCTTATTTTCTTCAGTTTCAGATGGATAACTGACATTATGGGTGTAAACATTGACAACAACAATGGCGTCCCATCTCGTCTTGTGTGACCATATTATTATTGATTTATATTGTATAAGGAGCATTCATAAACATTATTTAAAGAATATAGTTTGTATTTTCATTAATTTTATTGTTATCGGGAGAAAAGAGGGTAAAAAGCCACACAAAATATATGAAAAGGTGAGACTTTGGAACACATCTCATTATTATTGCTTTATTTTAATGGTAATTAATGATTAACAATACGATGATTCACTTTACACTGCAATATTGGAGGACACAATACCGTAGTTATCCGAGGCTTTACTGTACTATAAAGTATAGACAGTCTGGAGTGAAATAATTCTGCCATTACAAGCCTTGGGTGGCAAAGAAGAATGCATCATATAATTAATATAACATGGTGTTTTTTGTGTGTTTTCTTAGTCAGGCTAGGTTAAGTCCTTAAATTTACAATACTGTACCATAGTACGTATTCAGTAAATAACCATTGTATTTTACATTTGTCTTTATTAGCTATACTCTTATGTCCTGTTACTGTACAGTATATATAGTTTGTCAGCATCAGAGTAATTTTGAGGATTTATGTAATTTAAGAACAAATGCAGATATTACACATGAAGCTATTTATGAAAGTATATCATGAAGTCAGTTGTTCTTTTTGATAAGCCTGTAGCATGAACATTAAATAATTTTATGTGATGGATTCCGGTAAGTGTCTTATGAATGCTCTAGTCAATTTTTAAATTTTTTTTTACTGACAATGAGAGACAAAGCAGCACCACTCCCTCTTGCAGCTCATTGGCTTGCACGAATGATCGATTAATATACAGTATTGCAATGTAAATCCATATATAATTGTTAAGAATACCCAGTTATGCCTCGCCTTAATTCCAAATTTAATGTCTGCAAAGATAGGACTGTTTGAAAACATCAACTTTCAAGGTATGAGTGGAAAAAGAATTTGAAAAAGAGCAATATTTTTTATAGAAAGCAGTTTTTGTGATAAAGTCCAGAATGCGACGTCTAGCTTTATACCTACATATGTAAATGCCTAGCAATAACTCGCCGGGCCAACATACAGGCAATTAAAACATCTAATAATTACTTGAAACGTAATATTAGGAGGACACGTTGCATTTAATAGAATATTTACTGTCGAAGTCACAAACAAATTAAAGGTTTCAGGGAACACTTTTTGAAAAAAATCCACTATGTACTTCTCTTTTCACTAATTATTATGAATACTGTATAAAGACAAATGACATCAAACATATAAAGCCACGGATAATAATGGCCATTTTATAAAGAGTAGAATCTAGTAATAACACCACATACAAGTATTCACGTAAAGGTGTCATTTAAGATGAACGTTACAGGGAGGTAGTGCATTTGGTGAAAGAGCCGCTTATATGATGTATCAATATTAATCTAACCTTTGTATGGACCTTTGAGCTGTAAGGGGGGTGAGGCTTCTTTGTCTATCTCTTTCAGGTAAAAATTAAACAACTATAGTGTAAATGCATTTTTTATAATTTCAGAAGACCTTAAACTGGGGACCATGGATGTATTACTGGATGCTTTACACGGGGAGCTCAGCACTAGCTGCTTGTGACTATCTTGGTGAAGGCTTATCAAACTTATTTGGCATTACAACACCAAAGTATTGGTATGAGATTGAGGAGTATAAACGCTGTGAAGAAGAAGTAAGGTTCTCTTTGTTTTTGTTGATATTTTCATGCCTCTAATTACTTTTTGTTGATGACTGATTATACAGCATACAGTAATTGCTTTAATATCAACAAAGTTTTTGTTATTCCCAGTATAATGTATATTTCTTTTTTGTTTTTTTAGCTTTAAGAAATATTTTATGGCCCCTGTTTCCTCATTGATTCACCATTACAAAGTGTCCCTTGTTAATGCTGCCCTTGCCAGGGATCATTTGTTTTTTAACTCCTTCACTACAGGGACACCACTTTCAATATTTTATTTGGTGAATGCTAGATGATTTTATTGAGCAGGGACGGGACCCCGACCTGTACACAAGTGGTCAACAGAAAGACGTATTATCCACATGGACAAAATTGTTTCTGCAGGCAGCTCCTCACTCTGTTAGTTACATTTGGATTTTAAGCTACTGAATTGGTGGACTTCTCATTTGTCCAGTGAGGCATTTTAGTCAGAGAAAAATCTGCATATTTGCCACAACTGTGGACAAAAACTTGAAAATTGGTATAGATGGACCTTGTGGTTATACAGTAGAAAGATTTTGGCCCTAAAGGTCAAATGTTTCAAGGTCAAGGTCAATCAGGTATCACAGTCAGATGATAAAAACAGCCCTAATATGTCTCCCTTAAGGTCTAGAAGGCTGGTTTTGGTGTCAAAAAGTAGGGATTGAACTATACAGTATTTGCATAGTATTTTTGAGTGGTTAAAATTCATGCATTCTGTGGGTCATTTATATGGAACAATAGCTATCCAGGACATACTCGCTTAGGCTAATCTTACTAAGCTGTGAGGTGTTATGGTTATTTTAGAAGTCATTTACATGCACACAATCCTACATAAATATTATGAAAAAAGTAAAAGAAATAATTATCATAAAGAAAACACATAAAGGGCATAAACATTTCTTTGTGCATGAGTTAGCAGGCTGAGCTGGGGGAGCGGAAGGAGGGAAGAAAGTGTGGGGGGGGTGCGAGGGAGTCAGCAGAGACAACGTTCCAGCTGGGCTGCATTGCTGTGGCCAAGAAACCAGTGTCTATGGAAAATGGAGGTTGTGTTAAACTTTCATTTTGCTTTTTTCCTGATTGGTTTCAGCTGCATTTTTTTCATCTAGATTGTATACAAATTTTGTTTGAAGTAGTACAATTGTTAAATAACCTAAGAAAGCTAGGTGACATGGTTTATGAATGCTGGAAAATAGGTACTGGGAGTTGTGAGTGCTTCAGCCATTTTACTTACCGTGTAGGCTGTTACATTACTGTACATCTGTGATAATATTCCTTCCTCTTTTATATTTTTGTTCGTTTTTCAGTACAGTATTTTATATTAGTTTTGTATTTGTAATAATAATGCAAGACTTGTCACTGTTGTCACATCCCCCTAGTCCTCTCTCTACCACTCCAGGCCAAGTTGTGAGGTATACAGTACTGTCCAGTATTAAGGTTATTTTTCAGCTTGTAATTTTGGGTAGATCCTGTGTATGTAATTTTCTTCATATTTTTATTTTTTAACTGTGTTACATGCACATATAATATTGCATACAGAATGAGTAAAAAAAAAATTATCATAAGGTCAAACACATAAAGGGAATAAACTTTCTTCATGTGTTCAGGCTAAGTGGGGGAGATGGGGGTGAGGGATCTTAGCTATTCTGAACTGTCTCCTGTGTGTAGTGAAACATTTGACAAATTTTGTCGCTATTTATTATTTTATCTTATTCCTCATAGGAGTTGGTAACTGGCAGGAATTCAGTTTCAAAGTTGGTGGTAATGTTCAAAGTATCAGCTGTTGTGATGGTGGTCACAGCCAAGTTGGTGTGATTCTGTTGTCCTGCAACAAATTATGTCTAGGATTATATCTAATATTTTTCAAAAGCTAGGGTCAAATTATACAAGAGATATATGAAAAACTCAGATTTTTTTTTTCTTTTTAAAATCGGGGTCGAATTGCTGTATACAGTATAGGAGTTCTGTCTATACTTGAATATACTGTATATGGTAGTTCTCGCCCAAGATCCCAACTTTAAAATAGGCTTAGTCTAGACTCTTGAAGTGCAGTGGTCCCTTGGTTAACTAACGATTCGATTAACGAAATTTCGGTTAACGAATTACCTCCCATAAGGATCTTCAATTCGGTTAACGAACAAAACTTCGATTAACGAAATCTTTACGATAAACACGTTTTGTTGTGAACATCAGCTGATCAGCTGATGGGCAAATCTGCCAATCAGTAATCTGTTCTATGTTTACATTTGTTTCCAGTGGAGTGAATATCAAGAAAGTTGTGCTCTTTAATATTTTGGCATTTTTTATATTAAAATTATTATTCATTTTATAATTTAGTTAATATATTGATAATATATGCAGTGCAGGGAACTAGTTTTTTGTGCGCCCATCAGCTGCTTGACTCACCCACCAGGCGTCAGTTTGGCTTTGTTTACAGTGGAGTGAACATCGAGTTTGTTGGTATCTTGAATATTTTTGCATTTTTACATTAAAATTATTGGTCATTCTGAAATTTAGTTAAATATTGATTATATATAGCACAGTGCAGTTTTGATTTAAATAAAATAATCTTGAATTACACCTAGTGAACTTAAAATTCTATTGGTGAAATTACTGCATCAAGCATGGGTCCCCTGAAAGGTGATTTCTCCTCCATCCCCACTTCCTTCTCTTCTCCCTTCTCCTCCATCCCCACTTCTAATTCCCATCATCATCATCAACCAGGAACCTTCTACATACACACCTCAAAGTAAGTGTACTTTACTGCATTTTTTTTTTACTTTGTATGTACTTTTCTGTGAGCTGGAACCAATTACCCATTATTCCATTGAAACAATGGATTCGGGTTAACAAAATTTTCGGTTAACGATCGACTCTGTGGAACGAATTGTGTTCGTTAACTGAGGGACTGCTGTATATGCTGTATCTGCATTGCTCCTTAAAGGCCATGAAGGCAGTGACACCACTCTCTTATGAGTTCTTTTGGGGGTGGAGGATTGCTTCCCTATTTTACCCATTAGAAGTAAACTTGATAGAAAAGAATCCACAAGAAAATAAGGCCCCTATGTTACTTAATCTTATTCTGTAGGGGGGCCAACTGTGCTTCATAAAAAAATTGTACATTACTTATTAATGTAATGATTACCTAATCCTATCTTGTCAGGCAAAGGCTGAGAGAGAGGAAATAGAACAGGAGAATACTGGCTGGACAACCACAGATGCTACGCCAACAGCTGATGGTGTTCAACAAAAAGTTATAGTATCCTCGGCTATCCAGCAACCACCATCACCTTCCCTTTCTCAAAAAGAGGTAATGTTCAGATATTTTAATTTTTATGAATTTGGTTGTCTTTCCTGCAATAGAATTGTTGTTGAGAGAAAATGTGTGTGTTTACATATACAGTATGTTATACTGTATACAGCACTGTGAGTTTATGATGCTATAATGCTGTGTATCACACCCATCAGTGATCAGGGATTTGAAAATGAGTTCATATGGTTGCAGATGTTGTACACCGGGCTGTAAACCAGTGATTGTGTTTCGACACATATCTACATATTGAAATGATAATGACTAGGAAAACTAATAGTAAGGCATTTCAGTAATGCGATAATTGATACTGTGTTATGATTACCATATGTAAAAAAAAAGTTATGTTAATAATTATGTAGCTTTAGCACAGACAAAGATGATGTTGGTATTAAAAATAATATTGAGAATATGCTAATAAAAGTTAGCTTATAATAATAATACTTTAAAAGTAAAAATACTATTAGGAATACTGATAACAACACTAATACAGTACAGTACTAATAATATGGTCATGGAACCTGTTTACCTGACTAGAGCATGATACACCCTTACTCCTAGGCTGGGGTTAATAACCCTGTACAGTATTATTGCATTCACTTACTAAAAATATAGAGCAATTCAGAATGTAATTTTAATGTGGCCTCAGCAAGGATCCAGAAGAGGCTTTAAGTTTTAAGTTTTATTTGGCGCTACATTATCTTGGATCAGTCCCTGACCAAGTCATAGTGTTGTCAACAAACCAATCTCATAGTGCTGGGCCAGAGAAGATTCTTTTTCGCACATGAAAACTGGATAGGGTTTCCTTCGTTTGAAAAAGTTTACTATGCATTTGTTGGCAGACTGGGTTACTTAACATTCTTTGATAATTACCATAACCTTTAATTTTAGTGTAAATTCTGTATTGCTCATCTTCGGTGTTATGGGATTATGGAGGAGGCCATTAGATTTACTAAGTCAAATTGCATCCCTTGTGTGCCTGACTTGGGGGATTGCATCTTTCTTAGCCTTTTAGGGGAGTGTCTTTGGAGTTAGTACTCCAGGGAGGAGTATAGACATTAGATGGTATTCATCTTGAGGTATCTATGGTATCTGTATGAATCTAATCTGCAGTTAGCCTGCATGGTGTTAGTTATTTACCCTGGTTTCAGGTAAAAAAAAAGGGTGTGTATTATGTCCTTTCATCTGTGCTAACTGGGTTCAGTGTACAGGAGATACCCAATACGTACTTTGCATTAGTTGAAAATGAGGGATGAATCCTGCAATTTTACTTTATAACTAGCATGGATTAATCAATTCCGATCCTAGAGGTGCTGAGATGAGAACTGAAAAATGGTTGAGATTGTGTCCTGTTTAATGTCCTGTTTGGATCTCAGAGCCTATTTGTTGAAGTGTGGTGGCCACAGTCTCATAGCTCTCACTTTCTGGCAACTGACTCACTTGTACTACCCTTTTTTAGGGACTACAGTATAGGTGAGTCAGGAGAGATCTTATCTTTAGTTTTCTAGTTCTTTAGTTCTTTACTGTATTTCTGGTGCATAGTGGTCATGTTACACAGGTGAAGTGAAGGGGTCCTTGGACTCCTAGGGCTTTGCTTGCAAGGGTTTTGATGCAGTACATGATTTGCCTGATCCATATTTGATATAAAATAGGATTTATGGATCATTCTCAGCATCAATTTACATATGAATTGCTGATAGAAAGTTTTTATGTAAGGCAGTATCCAATGCAGTATCACTTACATTTTATTGATATCCTAAACATGGAAGTTGACCAGGGAACTTGTGCCTCTTATAACACTGTTACTAAAGCAAATTGAAATGTCACTCGCCTTCAGAATAACCAGAAAAGCATCAGATTTCTAAAAATATCTGTATAAAAATTATTAAACAGGTGAATTGATATAAATTTCAGAAATTTTCCATGTCGCTAAGTGTAAGCATCATCAGAGGAGTGACAGTACTTCCCACCTTCGGGAGACAGACACTACCTACTGTAATTCACTTTTATAAGAACATTTTCTGAGATTTTACAGAATGATTTGTGGTGAATATGATTTTTTTTTTTATTGGTCTTGCCTTTGGTATAAACAAAATTAAGCAGAAGGCAGAAACACTGATGTCAGAATGGCCACTGGAACCTTTAACAAAAGTTAAAACTGACCAGAATTTAGTGTTTCTGAGAATGTCCCATACAGTACAGTACTGTTTTTCCAGAACATGAATTCTGGCTAGTTTTAAATTTTGTGAAAGGCTCCATGTGTCATTTGTTAGAGCAAATTGAGTGTTCTGGATATCAGAATTTCAGGGATAAGAAATTGTATTTCATAGATTATGAAAGAATATTCCCTGGAATAAAAATTAGTACACAACAAATTCTAGAACCAATACCTAAGCTCTCATTGCTTGTAAATGCATTGATCTTTAGTATCAGTGTCTCTTTTGTCTCTCATTTTATTTTTATTTTTTACCAACTGGGGAGAAGGTAAAAAAAAAAGAATTTTATTTTATTTATTTTATTTTTTTATAGTACAGTGAGTTCTGCTATAATGCGTGTTTTGACAACGCAAATTGGCTCTAACGCGATTTATGAATAGAGGAACGATATTTGTATAACGCGAACGCTTGTTTGCTGTAACGCGATTTTTGCTTACTATTTCTCCAATTTTGTGGTAGTAACTGTGAATATGGTAAAGAAGAATATCTCCAAGAAGCGTTCTGGTGATCGCATTCCCAGTGATGATCGTAAAAGAAAGACTATAACCCTTGAAGAGAAGCTCGATGTTATCTACCTCAAAATCAACCTTCTCCCCCATCAAGTTATATTCATATTTTTTCAAGGTAAAGTGTTACATTTACTGTATGATTTCATTATTAGATATGAATGTAACATTTATTTAGACTGTGCTATCCTTTGTGTTAGGCTAACTACTAAATTTTTTTCGATTTCGAGTAGTAATCTGCACCTAACCCTATTTTCTCCATAAGCCCTGTTATTTCTATTACGCGAATTTCTATAACACGATGTTTTACAAGAACACAACTATCGCGTTATAGCAGAACTGACTGTAGTGACTGAAGGAAGCCTGAACCAGCTTGAGGCAATGGTCCTCCTGTGTCATGCTTGACCAAAGAAAAATATGGATGGTTGGGTGTGTGGCTGTGTGTGTGTGTAGTAGGTGGATGGATGAGTGTATGGCCCCCTTCACTTTCAACCTGTTATAGAGCCTTTGCTATTAATTTTCCACTTCTGTTATTGTGATATAATAGCACGAATGCAGGAAAATACTGTATAAGCCTGCTTTGTCAGCTGTTGGTGTTAGGAAAGGCATCCAGGCGTAAAACTTTGCTTCACCATGCCTGATGGTAACTGGGTCACCGAGGCTATGCCCATCCCCTTGTTTCTGCTGTATTTTCTGGACTACCGCCACTACATATTCTTTTGGCTCATCACAAGATAGTAGTTTTTTGGTTAATCTTTCACTCCTCTAATTTTGTACACATACCAGGTACATAATCTGAACAATCAGTCTCCTTCATATAAAGTAATTAGAGGTTTCTGTTGTTATATTACATGGGGTATTGCGAGTAGCAAAGGCGAGCTGACGAAAACAATGTTTTAAGAAAAACGTGCAGTAAGTCTTTGCTTATCATCGTGGTTCCGTTCCTGAAAACCGTGACGTTATCGGAAACAACGTTGATGGAGTCAATTTTCCTCTTAGGAAATAGACAAAATACGTGCATTACGTTCCCCAGCCTCCCTTTTCCCCATAAAATGCATTACATATACATAAATAGAATTTATATAGAAAATAGTATATATTATACATCCAAAAAGATGGTAAATCATTTTGTATTGTACTCACTGATGGGCGGAGGTGGAGCGAGTGTGTGGTGGGTAGTGGAGAGGAGGAGGGTGGCGAGTCACTGAGACCCGGAGGGTGGCTCCTCCTCCCGCTCTGACTGGATGAGAGAGGGTGATGCGCCGTACAAAGTAGTCCGTGACGACGTTATACAGATTGGCGGGACATTGTCCAAATCATGGGTATCTAAAGAGTAGCGATGTTATAACGAAACAACGTTGTCGGGGGCAACATTAAATGAGGACTTACTGTATTTTTTTTTTTTTTGGTCCATATCTCAAGCAAATTTTTATTAAATTCCCCAAAAAAAAATTCTTATTTTGTAGGTTTGGGGTAGTACATCATGAATATGTATGAAAAAGGTGTAACATTCCATAATATGCCTCATTGGTATAGTGAAACGTATCTGTATAGTAGTAATACAAAATAATGAAATATTTCATGAGATGGATTTAAAATTTTCTGAACTTTAATGAAGATAACAAAAAACACAGTCAGAATAAGTAATAATGAAAACAGTCACACTCACCATAATCAGTCATGACCTGCTGAAAAGTGCACCATAATATAAGCTTTAAAAAGGGGCTAGAATCCTGTGTTCTTGGATCACACATGAAAGAGCATGGTTTGAGCTACCAGAAACCATAGAAAACATATATTCCCACATTTGGTCAGCTCACCCATGCTGCTTGCAACACCTCATATTAAGTTGGATATTTTTCCAATAAGTTCTTAACTTCCAGTTTCATGGGAAAATACTTGGATTTCCTTAGAAAATCATCTACTCTATTTGGAGGACCTTTTTCCACAAATTAATCTGAGATATTGAGATTTGACTGTACAGTACAGAATGTAAATGAGTTTAGCTGTAGTGTGTGGGCTTGTATGGAGCTATACCAAGATGCATGAAACACACTTTATGAGCCATCCTGTGTGATATTTGGAGGGTGTTTGTTTGTTATTGCTAGACTTTGTGAAAGGCTTCAAAATTTTTTTAAATACTGTATTTCTTAAAAAACTGTTGTGTGCCAAATTTAAGGAATTGCCTTTGATATTTTGGATGATGATATTTGTTTCAGAATTACATTCTGCCTACACAGTCATAAGTACAGTAAAGAAGAACCCTGCATGTTTTACATAGTATTATTGCAGTAAATAATTCTTAATCTTTTATTCTCATATCTGTGACTAAGATAAAAATTCCTTCAATTTCAGCCTGATAATGAGCTACATATTACAGGGGGTAGTGAACTGACTGAGGTACCCTGTTATGCACCCTCTTCTTCTAATCCTCCCCCTTCCTCCTCCCATCCACAACCCACAACTAAAGTAAAGATTTGGATGTCTAAGGTACACATGAACCAGGTCACTGAAATGTCAACATGGGTTTAGATTTAATTTATGTCTAAAAGAGTACTTCCGCCATCTCTGTCTGGCTTCTTGTCCAAACTAATTTCTAAATACAGTACAGCAGCTTTGTATATTCCTACTAAATCCAAATGGTATATGTACTATTAAATCAGCACTAAATACTGTTGTGACATGACATATGATGATAATAACTGTTGGGTGTGTGTTATTGCATATTGTGTCACTGACACTGTTGCTAATCATATGTCTTGTGAAGTTATTACTTCAGGTTTAACCAATGGAATGATATAGTACTAATCTCTTTGGATTTTTTTTTTTAATGCTGAATTTATACAATGGACACAAAAGTGCATTTTTTTTTTTCGTCATTGGAGATATGTAACATAAATATTAGTATTAGCTTGAGATCCCTTGTGCATTCTTTTGGACAGAGAGGTATTATTTAGTACAGTAAAACCTCGTTAAGGCGGACCCCGCTAAGGCGGATATCGCTTAAGCCGGACAAAATTGTTTTCCTAAAAATAATTAAAAAAAAAAGGAGGACAAAATTTGTCCTCCAATGGCATGTTTGCAAAATTTCAAGAGGCCAAGGCGTCAGCATGTGGGACACAGGAGCCCGAGAGTTATCAATTGTTGTTTAGAGAATATTATTTCATTCACTCTAGTAATGATACAACGTTTCTTAGTATGTTATCAAAGGTAAATGCATGGTTTATATAATTTGTTTATCACTGTGCCCATCACCGTTTTCAAATTAGACTACGAGATATGTATTTCGATCGTACGCCTGGCAATGGGAGCCTGGGAGTGAGTGAGTGACCACAAGTTAAAGCGTTATCTGCAGTTGTATCTCTCCTTCCTCTCTGTCATATTTCACTGGATTTACTGTTGTTATTATTGTTATTAGTGCTTACTGATATAATAGGATTTAATAGTGATAAATCATGGCAATGTACCTAGGTTAAACTCGTCACTGTAACCACCAGGCTACTAGGCCAAACTGTGGTGTTATGGTTGTTTTTCAACTCGTATTTTTGGGTGGATATTCGTAACTTTCTTCATTTATTTTTACTCAGTTACATGCACACACAATCTTACATACATATTGTGAAAAAATTTAAAGAAATGATTGTCCTGAGGGCATACACATAAAGGGAATATACATTTCTTTGCACACGAGTTAGCTGGCTCAGTGAGGGAGGGGAAGACAGTCGCAGAGTGTGTGTGGGGTGGGGGGAGGAGGGGGTTGCTAGGGAATTGGCGTGCCAGCTGATGTTCGTTACTATGGTGAAATGGGGTAATATGCAAATGGCGGCTGTGTTGAACTTTCATTTGGCTTTTATTTATTGATTTGACAATACATTAGTTTTTGTTGGTATTATTTTTATTTATTCCTCACATTTCCTGGTACTGTATACAGTACAGTATATTATTTTTAGAAAACTATGGCTGCAGGTAGGAAAATACACACAAAAGATTTTCCAAAATACACTCTTCCATAAGATACGGTACCCTGTACTGTATTTTTGGTGTTTTTTATGTACAGTTAACCCTCACTTTACGCGGTTAATGTAACCCGGAGGGTCCCGCGTAAAGTGAGAAACGCGTAAAGTGAATAACATAACATATGGGATTAATTGAAATGGAGTCCGGGCCGATCCCCAAACTCCACTTTTTGACGACACACAACTATGTTGTAGTAAAAATATTATCTTAACTTTATGATGGTATGCACACACAATTAATAATTAAGAGAAATATCAATAATATTAGGTTTTTTAACACTTACATTAGTAGAAAAAATGGCTGGGCACACGGGGATGGGCGGTTGGTTCCGAGGCAGAGGGCAGATTATTGGCCCTCACCTGTGTCACTTGTATCAATTGTATCACTATCCACCACAGAGGCTTGCAGGGCCTCTTTGTCAAACTCCCCAAAGTCCATATAAGTCCATATCCTCACCATAATTATCACTATCACTGACTTGGGCCGGCTGTGGTGGGTGGCGGGTGAAGAACTGGTAATGTTTTGATGACTGGGCGACCTTGTGCGCACCATGTTCGCGCAGCTTACACAACATGGCGGATGGTGGGAGGTTTGGATCCAAAAATGGCGCGGCTCGCCAGCCGCTCTCCGCGTAAAGGGGTACACGCACCGCGGAATGTGAGCATCCTGGGTTCCGGCAGGGCACCGCGTAAACGTGGAAACGCGGAATGCGGGACCGCGTAAAGTGAGGGTTAACTGTACATTTAGTACATTCACCGTAGGCTGAAGTAGCATTCATATTTTTTGCATTATTATTGAAAAATTAAACAATAACCAAGAAAGTGTTTGGTATCCATAAGGGTGATGAGAAGGTTAAACCTAAGACCTTATCAGTGAACTAAAAGTAAGTGTATGGTACTTTATGTACATTACTTTTTAAAATTAATTTTGATTTAAAAACATGCACTGTATTTCTTTCATAAAACTTGGATACATTGGTGTTGTACTCGTTTTTTGTTTTAAATGGCGATCTTTTTGGAAAACGGTGCTCGAAGTTGGACAACCTCTTATCCCGGACACCCATTCTCCCCAATTAGTCCACCTTAGCGAGGTTTTACCGTATTGTAATAAATCATATATAAGAAAAGGTTCACAGAGTATGGCTTAAAGATAGATGATAGTTAACCATTTTTCTCTGCAATGCATAAGAATTGGACAAATATTGAGATTAAGCAAGGTTGTTATTACATTTAAAATTTAAATTCACACTTATTAAGGCTCACAGACAAGACTAATCTTTATATCTTGGGAGGGTGGCACCAAAGGAGGTGTTAAATGCTGACTTAATTTTCTTTTCCTTTAATTGTTGGACCTACAACTTAGCAGGGAGTTAGTCAGATATGCACAGTATATACAATTTTCTTAAGAAATTACAGACAAACATGCTAAATAAAAGAATATGGGAAAATTGTCGAGTGAATGTTTTTTTCCATGCACAGTTCCATTCTAATACAGTAATCCCTCAACATTCACTGGTTTAGCTTTCACGGATTTATTATTCATAGGTACAATCATTGTATACCTGCTTATCATTCACGAGCATGAGGATTGGTTATTCACAGTTTGTAGTCACGTCTTCCTGTACCATGCAGGAAGCTGTGCATCACAGCATGCTCTTTCCATCTCCAGCCTCCATCATGGTAACACCTGCAGCTCAGCTATTCGCTCGGCTATTATTGCCTCCTAAGCGTATAATGAGTGGGGATGAGTGGATTAAGTGCAAAAAAGCAGAAAAAAGTGATGACTTCAAGTCAAAAAGTGGAGTTACTTGATCGCCTTGCTAGGGGTGATAGTGCAGCGGCTGTGAGACGCCATTATTGTGCTAACGAGTAAAATGTGTGCTCAGTAAAAGTGAGGCAAATATTCATGCAAGTGTCTCTGCAAGTGCCCCCAAAAGTGCTAAAGTAACTTTTCAAACCCATGACAGTAACTTGGAAAAAATGGAGCATGCTCCAACTCCTTCCAATTTCACTACCATCCTCATTTTCATCAGTGAGTACAGTACATAACTACTGTATGTTTTTACGTATTATTTACTGTATTTAAGATGTACAATATTACTCTTAAAAGGTACCTCTTTGAGGGTGTGTATCCCCTAAACTCATTTTTCCCATCAAGTCTTAAGTTTAACATTTGCAGAGTTGACATTCACAGTGTTTTTGAGGAACCTAACCCGTGTGAATGTTGAGGGTTTACTGTAACACACAATAATGGTCAGGGAACCATCCTCCTCCCGCTTATCACCCACTGAACTGTGAAGTGTAGAAATTCCACTCTCCACGCCTGATAAAGGGCTACTGAGGATACGGCTCACATGTCCACTCTCTTAGACCAAAAACAAAGTTGGGAACACCAGACTCATATCAATGTCTTGGAAGGAAATGAGTGTCTGTTAATGATATCCACAGTTGTCTACATCAAAGTTAGCAGACATTGGCTGCAATTAAAGGGTAAAGGTAGAAAGTGGTTTAACTCCTTAATGAAGACTGTGCTACCTGTAAACTATGACATTGCTCCTCTCTATCTGTTTAATTACTTTATATTTACAAAATTCATCTGCAGAGTGTTTTAGCTTATACAGGGGCCCCCCAAATTCACGGGGGTTAGGTTCTCAAAATGGACGCGAATAGCCAAATCTGCGAATAACATTTGCTGACCGGGGGGAAGGGGGGGGTAAATTTTTACTTGTGTTCAAAGAAATGTATATTCCCTTTATGTGTTTGCCCTAAGGATAATTTTTTATTTTGCCTGTTTTGTATATATAGTATATTTATAACAGGCACTCCTTGACTTATGACCACCCGGACATACGATCGCCGCAGTCGTATAAAATATTTTTAAAATTACGTATTTTCGAGTCCCGACATTAGTGATCGCGCTGTGTACTGACAAAATTTTCGTTTGTAATTCCCTTTAAAACGGCAGGCAAGCGTAAAAGTGAGAGTTCTCGTGGTGCTGAGAAGAAAAAGAGCACCCATTTTAGATTTTCTATGTATTATATTTGCATTTTCGACTTACAACCAATTCGACTTACGACCTGGTCGTCGGTCCCTAACCCCGTCGCAAGTCGAGGACTGACTGTATGTGTGTGTGTGTGTGTGTGTGTCTACACACATATTTACAATACAGGTAAAAGAAATTACTGTCTCTAGAATGAATGGCTCCCTGTCCCAGCCGCAAAAATGCCGGCAACTTTAAAACTACCCACAGACATTCTTGGATACATCCGGAGTGTCATCCGCAAATAATAGAGGACTGCGAAATAAAAGTCCGAGAATTTTGGGCCCCCCCGTACTGTAAAATAGCACAAAGTCACTATGTATTCTGTGATTGTTTATTAACACTATTGTAAATAGGATGTACTATAGGCGAATAACAATTTATATACAAGATGTATTACTGTTAAGTAACTTCATATGTATCTTGCAAATTAACTCTTTCCTTATATAGTACACAAATTTTAGAAATGTATTTAACCTGTTAGTATATTTATTCTGATTTACCATGATTGTCCCTTCATTACTACATGCCCAATCTGTGTACAGATCCTAAAATCTTGTCTCTACAACGCAACTCTGAGTTGTCATACATATATACCATCTCTATAATGAGTTTAACACAATCTGTATACAGTATGGTGCTCCACAACCTGACTCCATATTGCTTCCTACAATTTTTCATGTATCACTGTCTGTTCTGTACAGTTCTGTAAATATGATAATGTATAAGACTAAGTAAAATAAGTGTTTACAAGTAAAAAGCCACATTGTAAATTGAAATCTCACATTAACCACATCCTGTATGAGGAGTAGTGTTATCCCTTCTCAGAGCTATACTTGAGTACTGCATCAGGATTCAAAAAATGAATTCTTTAAAGTATTTTAAAATTAGAAATTCCCTCCAAATCTCATCAGCTGACCTAACCTGGGTTGGTCAGCTGTGAGAAGACACCACATGTTACAAGTTTTCTGGGTGCTGGCCAGTCTCACCTGTGCACTCATGCTGCCCACATTACTCTTTCATACTCAGAAATGGTGTGGATTTTCACCAGGTGTGCTGCCATTAAATTGTCTCAAAACAAATACAAATGTGATGGTATTGACTGCAGTATTGCAAAAAGAAAACACAAAGTGCTTAGTATCAAAGAATAAGTGGAAATTCTCCAAAACTTGATATGTTTCAGTCAGAGAGTAACTTCTGCAAACAGTATGGTGTAGGAACCATAACAATTTATTACTAATAGAAGAAACTTGACAAATTAAATAAGTCTTATGATGTACTGGCAGTGTGTATTAGAATGGGTTCCTGGAGCTGGTATATCAAATTTCTAAATTATCGACTTTCCAAAAGCCTCTTTGTCTTAATCTTTTCGGATTCCTGGTATTCAAATGTGTGAAATTTAGCACGCTCCTCAGTTTCCTACCTGAACAAAGTACTATGTTCTTGGGCTTTATGGCACAGGCAAATGCTAGCCCACATCTTCAGAATGTTACCAGTTCATATTCTGCTCCCCTTGTAGAAAGTTGTTCTCTTGGTAGCTGCTGTTGATTACGGTTATGTACACTATACTGTACATTCAATAAGTGGAAAACATGGGAGCACCATAGCTTTTGTCTTTATTCAAGACATCTTCAGGTCATGAGACCCACTATTCATCCACCCTGACAATGGGTGACTTGACATTGCATCAGGTCAGGTCAGTAGCATAGCTCACTAATTCCTCACCCCCACCCCCATCACAAGTGTTAAGATGTGATTACAGATACAGTAAGTCCTCGCTTAACATCGGGGTTACATTCCTGAAAACGCGACGTTACACGAAACAATGTTAAGCTGATCAATTTTCCCCCTAAGAAATAGATAAAATACGGGAGTTATATTCCTGAGCCTCCCTTTGCCCCATGAAATACATTACATATACATAAATTTAAAGCTCCTTGTGTGATGCCAGGTGAGGTGTTTGTATGCATTACTATAAAGTCACATTCATTGACATTTTATAAGCTTAAAGCTCCATTTGTATGACTGATAAATACACACTAGGTAACCTTCTCAATCCTCCCTACTGCTGCCATAACAAA